AAAAAAAAAAAAAAAAGATTCTTTGTTCCTCAGGAGCAATGCTTCCTTAGAGAGTTACAAAGGATTGAAGAGTAAGGTCACTAAGTGAAAATTCTTCACATACTTCTTAGCTTCTAGAGTAAATCTAAATCTATCCAAGATTTTCCCTCAACAGAAATATGTATAAATAAGAATGAGATACCTGGATTAAAAGGAAGCTTTGCTGAGATCCGTATTTCTGATTATCTCCTTTTTTGTTGTTGTTCTGAAGCTTTTTTGACCCAAAGTTAATTCACTATAATGCAATTAGGAATAGGTAGAGTTTTTGGCTTGTGTAATGAAAGCTTCACAAGCAATGGGATTCAGAGAACTTGGTGCACACATTGTAAGTGCTAGGAGGATGCTATGCCAGAAGAGGGCAAGAAAGCTATGTACCCCTTGCCCCACCCCCATAGAGATTCTTGAGTTGTATTCTTTATGATATACTGAATTTTGTGAGCTGCTCTTGCAAGTTACCAAACACACAGCAGTCACACGAACTCCTGTTCATAGCCTTTTAAAAGTACAGGTGGTTCTAGAACCTCAAATTAGCATCTGAAATGGAGGTAGTCTTGTAGGACTGAACCCCTTTAATTTATGGGCCTGATGTGAATGCCAGGTGCAGGGTGTCAGAATTTTTGCTGGACTTAAGCTTGTTGTGTGGAAAATTGGAGAAGGTGTATCAGAATAGACTGGACATTGGTGTCCAGTAGTGTCGTGAGGAATAAAACCTCTCATTGTAGTAATGAAAATGTTTAGGGTAACTGCAATTCACCCTGACCATTGCCTGTCTTGATTTGTGTTACTTAGTCTATGTTTAGCAAAACTTTTGTTGACCAAGTGAATGGGACTTTTCTTCATTTGGCATCCAGGTTGTAAATGTGAGATTGTAGTGCAGTTGATTTAGTTGCTGGTCATTTCCTGTTAGAGATGTTATCTACCACACAGTCTTCCCACCTCCCGTTCCAACCCAAGGCTTAAGAACATTGCGTTCCATTTCTTTCAAATGCTCTATAGCACACTCTACTCAGAAAGTTTCAAGTGATTGTTTCAGAGATGCATAGATTAATGATAGTAGTCTAAGAGAATTTAACTTTTGCCACCCTTCTTTTTCTCCCCATTTCTTTCCTGTTTAACTTGTAGATTATAAATACAGTAAGGGAGAGAAGGAAGAAGCTGCTTCAAGAACTACCCTGAGGGGGCTGGGAAGGTGGCTCAGTGGTAGAGTCTGCCTTGCATGCTTAGGCCCTGGGTTCGATTCCTCAGCACCACATAAGCAAAAAGAAAAAAGCCAGAAGTGGTGCTGTGGCTCAAGTGGTAGAGCGCTAGCCTTGAGCTGAAGAGCTAAGGGACAGCGCCCAGGCCTAGAGTTTAAGCCCCATGACCGGACCAAAAAAACAAAATAAATAAGAAATAACAACTAGTAATGAGGTATGGCTCAGTTGGTAAAGCACCAGCCAATAAGTGAAAGCATCAGGTACCAAGTTCAAGTCCCAGTCTCAGACAAAAAATAAAAAAGAAATAACAATCAAGCCTAGGAACAAATACTACTAGCTCAAGAGCTTATAATCTAATTTGCCTTCCCAAAACAGTGTGGGGTGAAGGGCAAGGCTTTCCATGTCATATAGAGGTCATCAACCCCAAACCATAGCAGAACTGTAATATAAACCAGAACAGACTATAGATAAAGAACAAAGGAGATCAAGGGTCCAGAATCTCTCTGGTTTCAGCTTCTTCAGGGTATCGGCCCATCTCCATTCACTATTCAACCAGAGTCCAGCCAAGATCCTATATAGGACACCTCACTCTTCTTATCTGCATCTCAGCCACCTTCCAATTTCTTGGCTTTCTCTTTCATCTGTGTGTGTGTGTGCGCGCGCGCGCGCGCGCGCATGTGTGCGCGCGCACACTGACCCTGAGACTTGAATTCAGGGCCTGGGCACTGTCCTTGACATTCTTTTGCTTAAGACTAGTACTCTACCATTTGAGCCACAAATCCACTTCTACCTTTTTTTTTCTTCTGCCAGTCCTGAGGCTTGAACTCAAGGCCTGGGCACTGTCTCTGAGCTTCTTTTGCTCAAGTCTAGTGCTCTACCACTTTGAGCCACAGCACCA